CATTCGCCTGTAACATCACATTTCGAACGCTTCTAATCATTTGTTTTCAGCTGTGCCCAACGTCCATGTTTCGCACCCGTACATGGCCGCGCTCCAAACATACACCTTTAACAATCTTTTTCGAATTTCTAAATTAACCGTTCGCGAGCATAGAAGTGACTTCTAGAAGATACTACGAATGGGGCAGTAAACGCCATCTGTAGCACGATGCTACAGACCACTTCGAATCATTTGATTTGAAGTGACTTCTTTTTATTGAAAGCGATTCGACCCTGCGCTATCCTCTACTTCTCCTTCCGTCCTGACTTATCTGACTTCCTAAATACCTAACACTGACATTATAATAATAGTCGCATTATATGTTTACAAATTTAAATAAATACAGTTTGTCGTGTCTGTTTTAAAATATAACATTTACCTAATTTATCTGTTGTCCAGCGTATATCTACCCCTTAAAATCAAACAATGTTATATCCTTTTCAGCTAGGAACTTATTCCACCTTAAATAAATAAATGTTTCTACATAACTAGGCCCTTTCGGTTCCCCATCGTCTAAAAACATCACGCATGTCATAAAAAGTTTAATATTGTTAATTTTTTATGGTCCCATGAGATTAGTTTCCGCGTAAAATATATTCGTTCTAACGGACATTTGAAAACAACGTCAAAAAAGGGGTAAAGAAGCCATAACGTCCCTTAGTCACTGGTCAAAAATCAACGGAAAAAGTAACAAGCGTAAATAATAAAAATCAGTTATCAATCACGATCGCAGCCGGGGGTTAAACCACCCCTGCAGGAAATCCTTACGAGCACGCCATCACGACCCCAATGCCCCTCTTTAACCTATATACACGTATGTGTGTTTCGTGTTAATAGCACACAAGTGGTTGTCTGTAGCACTTGTAAACGAAATAAAAAAAATATGGAAACTACCGACAGCAGTCGCCATTGAATCATTAGTTATTTCATACCACACAAACACTATCATCATTATCGATTTATAGAGTAACCTTCCAAAGTCAGGCTGAACTGTGACGATGACATTAATTTGTTTTATTAATGACTATTATCATAGAAAAAAACAGGGATATTTGAAAGGCTTTTATATTCCGTTAACTAGTTTCAAAACTTCATCATTGTCCTAATAAGACTGATTGGACACCCACCTCCACTGTTTCCTATCCTAGGCTAATCTTCCAATTTCCCTAAATCTAGAACATCCCCCATCCTTAACTATTTGTGTCTAATCTAATCTAGGTCTAATTCTACTCCTCGTAAGTCCCATTTCTGCTTCTAATATCTCGCTGACTAGCCCTTCATGCCTGTGTCCTACCAACTTATCTCGCCTATTTCTTATTGACTTCCATAGCGTCCGTATATTACTGCCTGTTGCTCTTTATATATATATGTTATCGGAAATGTATGAAATCTAGCAATCGTATACAATTCCTAGGAAATGTATACAATTCCGAGGCTATTTAGGAAATCTATAAAATATTGTTTCAAAGATTTTTTAATATTTAATTTAATTGTATGACATTTCTATATTGTACTAGGAAATATATAAAAATTATTGTTTGGTTATTAGGTAGATTTATGACAGACTGGAGTTTCTTTAAGGCCCCTGCCCCTACAACATACTAAAAATTCAAGGTTATCATGTAACTTCCTTACATTATTCTAACATCTTCGGCTTGCAGGAACATAAAGAAACTCCAGTCTGTCATGAGTCTCCCAAACCAAACAATGACCAATGGATATGGGTACATCTCCAAGCAGCCTGCTGTATTATTGCCTATTTACGGAAATGTATAAATTTCCTAGGAAATGTGTCTAATATAATTTATTTCATATATTTCCTGGCGATTTTAGGAATAATATACATTTCCTAGGAATTGTATACAATCTCGGATTTCATACATTTCCGGGAACACATAAATAATACGTATCACTGTTCTATCTCTGTATCATATCCCTGCAATTTTAAATGAAAATCTGAATAAGANCGTGGCGTGTCATGATTATAAATATTCACACCATTTAATTCATGTGTCCGAATGGGGCTTTAGTATGACACGTAAAAAATAATTAGCAATTTAAATTGAAACGTTAACTTGTAAGAGAAAAGCCATTATTAGTAAAATAAAAGAGCGGCGTGATCCTTGAATCGCATGCAGATAATTGGGCGAGGAGGTGGCGTCCACAGGTGAGCGTCGTGGCATCGACGGCTCTACTGTAGGTATAGCGATTGCGATGTCACTGAAGTAATTCTGCATTAAAAACAATCGACGATCACGCGACGCCAATAATATCCTTTTCAGCTAGGAACTTATTCCACCTTAAATAAATAAATGTTTCTACATAACTAGGCCCTTTCGGTTCCCCATCGTCTAAAAACATCACGCATGTCATAAAAAGTTTAATATTGTTAATTTTTTATGGTCCCATGAGATTAGTTTCCGCGTAAAATATATTCGTTCTAACGGACATTTGAAAACAACGTCAAAAAAGGGGTAAAGAAGCCATAACGTCCCTTAGTCACTGGTCAAAAATCAACGGAAAAAGTAACAAGCGTAAATAATAAAAATCAGTTATCAATCACGATCGCAGCCGGGGGTTAAACCACCCCTGCAGGAAATCCTTACGAGCACGCCATCACGACCCCAATGCCCCTCTTTAACCTATATACACGTATGTGTGTTTCGTGTTAATAGCACACAAGTGGTTGTCTGTAGCACTTGTAAACGAAATAAAAAAAATATGGAAACTACCGACAGCAGTCGCCATTGAATCATTAGTTATTTCATACCACACAAACACTATCATCATTATCGATTTATAGAGTAACCTTCCAAAGTCAGGCTGAACTGTGACGATGACATTAATTTGTTTTATTAATGACTATTATCATAGAAAAAAACAGGGATATTTGAAAGGCTTTTATATTCCGTTAACTAGTTTCAAAACTTCATCATTGTCCTAATAAGACTGATTGGACACCCACCTCCACTGTTTCCTATCCTAGGCTAATCTTTCAATTTCCCTAAATCTAGAACATCCCCCATCTTTAACTATTTGTGTCTAATAGAATCTAGGTCTAATTCTACTCCTCGTAAGTCTCATTTCTGTTTCTAATATCTCGCTGACTAGCCCTTCATGCCTGTGTCCTACCAACTTATCTCGCCTATTTCTTATTGACTTCCATAGCGTCCGTATATTACTGCCTGTTGCTCTTTATATATATATGTTATCGGAAATGTATGAAATCTAGCAATCGTATACAATTCCTAGGAAATGTATACAATTCCGAGGCTATTTAGGAAATCTATAAAATATTGTTTCAAAGATTTTTTAATATTTAATTTAATTGTATGACATTTCTATATTGTACTAGGAAATATATAAAAATTATTGTTTGGTTATTAGGTAGATTTATGACAGACTGGAGTTTCTTTAAGGCCCCTGCCCCTACAACATACTAAAAATTCAAGGTTATCATGTAACTTCCTTACATTATTCTAACATCTCCGGCGGGCAGGAACATAAAGAAACTCCAGTCTGTCATAAGTCTCCCAAACCAAACAATGACCAATGGATATGGGTACATCTCCAAGCAGCCTGCTGTATTATTGCCTATTTACGGAAATGTATAAATTTCCTAGGAAATGTGTCTAATATAATTTATTTCATATATTTCCTGGCGATTTTAGGAATTATATACATTTCCTAGGAATTGTATACAATCTCGGATTTCATACATTTCCGGGAACACATAAATAATACGTATCACTGTTCTATCTCTGTATCATATCCCTGCAATTTTAAATGAAAATCTGAATAAGACGATGACAGATAATATAAAGTAAACAATTAGAAATTAAACTGATGAATTTTCCAACTGTGTTTTGTTTAACGTCTTCCACTGCTTCATAAAAGATAAATTTGACTGCATTCTTAAAAAAAATATTCTGCAGAAGGATTTCATAGTGATTTTGTTAGTTTATTGAGTCAGCTTTAGTTTTAAATTTTCAAATATATATTATCATATATTGATCAATTATTTATTTATCAAAAAATCTCCGTTACTTTTACTTAGTAGGTATACGTACATATACTCGACTTTGTTTATTTGGGGTCGTGTATCTTTCATGTAATAAATTCATTATTACAATGGCTACCGTTTTACATAACGCGTGACATTTAAAAATGATGAATAATTTTTATGGAGCCGCATACGGCACGCCAATATTTTAAATGATTATCAACTCGGATAAAGTGTATTTTAAAGTAAACTTACCCTCCTTTCATGTCGTTTATTAATTTCGATAAGCTGGCGTGATACATAACAAAAAGTCACGCATTTGTTTGATCTTAAGTAGGTGAATTTTAAATATTCAGACATGTAATTGCTTTAAAATTAAATTATTATTGGCATACGTATCAGATGTACATAGTCTTCCAAGGGTAAAAATGAAATTTTCCAGGAATCTAATTTGAATTTTTAAAGGAATAAAATTGTAGATACAATATTTACTGTAACCCCTTAACAATACTTATTAGAAGTTGCGTTATTGGGGTTTAAGCATGGTGTATCGTCCTTCACTGCGTGGCGGAAAACAAAGAAAGGTGGAAACGACGAAGAGAGGGATGCTTTCAACTTTGACACGCCAATAGGGTGGCAGGTGATCGGGTGCAATATGCCACACACTCTGACGAACGGACTTATCATTGTTATTTAGTTCTCATCAAGCTACCTGTGAATGTTTTACGTCTAGGTACTTGTTACTGTCGAGGATAATTAGTGAATTCACTTTATCGTTGTGGTTCTCAGTGGCGACAGGTTGTGTTGGCGGTAATGAATCTTTAAAGATTTAGGTACAATTTAAAAGCGTTTCATAAAATTCGATCAGAATTACACGTTGCGTTGCAAATTAATGAACAAAAATATGTGACGAAGTTTCGCAAATAAACGATTATTTCTGATAAGTTTATTGTTCCAGATTCTCAACTCAGTACAACTGAAGTTGATCATGACGACGACAGTGAAAACGACGACGAACCGCGATGCCCCCTATGTGATCAGCCGTTTGTAGACGTAGATAAGTAAGTATTCCGTAAGATTAGCAGTTTAAAAGTTTTTTTTTGACAAAGTAATTGAATTTTATGAGTCGTGTCGTGTCATGATTATAAATATTCACACCATTTAATTCATGTGTCCGAATGGGGCTTTAGTATGACACGTAAAAAATAATTAGCAATTTAAATTGAAACGTTAACTTGTAAGAGAAAAGCCATTATTAGTAAAATAAAAGAGCGGCGTGATCCTTAAATCGCATGCAGATAATTGGGCGAGGAGGTGGCGTCCACAGGTGAGCGTCGTGGCATCGACGGCTCTACTGTATAGCGATTGCGATGTCACTGAAGTAATTCTGCATTAAAAACAATCGACGATCACGCGACGCCAATATCAACGTCTCATGTCAATACTATCTATCCCTAATTGATTCCCTATTTAATAGTTTGGACACTTTTCAATCAAAAACATTTTACTGAATTATTATTGTGATAGTAATAGGAAGAATCAGATCCCATTTTCTGCATTACTAAATCTAGAAATTCTCATGTGTCACACCGCTTTCAATTAAATTTCTATTGTTGACCACTGTTCGATAAGTAAAATATTCCAGCATTCTTTTTTTATATTTATCGCAAGCATAAATCTCGGACGATATTCCACGTAACGGTAGCTTTTATCTTTAATTAGTTTGTCATTTGTCTTTTAAAATTTTAATGTTTTAATGACGTTTGATTTTCCACGATCACCGTTTGTGCAAAACTTGTGACTCCAGCGACAATTAGTAAATAATGCATCAGTATTTTGATCAATAAAAGGCGCTTAATCGTATCTAGTGAAGCAGATGTGAATATTCACATGGCTCTTCAGAAAGCCATTTACTTAATGATTACTCATTAATCATGTCACTAGCAGTCATACTTTTGTATTGGTGAGTAGACCGCCTAATACTAACACTTCCAAGCATTTTGAAAATAGTGTGCAGTCAGTAGCAAATTACTACTTTTTTCGCAGTTGTACGTAAACACTTCAATAGAATTTAATTTGAATTTAGAACACTGCAGCACTTGAATAAGCCATAGTACCGTCCATTTCAATTTGTTAGAGTTGTGACCTTGAAGAAATCTGCGCTAATATAGAAAGAATACACACTAGGCGTGAGCGAGACAGAAATAGTCGGAACAAACTTGAACGAGCAGAGCTCTCTATGGGCGCTCTTAAAAGATCGGCTAGAACTGTACAGTACTAGACGAAAATGTTTACCAATTTCTTAAAACAAAAATGTACATAAATTAATAGAAAACAAAGCAAAAGTTTTATATAGATGTGTAGAACGTTAAGTTAATTCACTTGTTATTGTTTTTGACTAAATATGCTTTTAAATGAAGCATATTCTTTAGCAGTTTAAATAATTTTGCAAATAGTACTGTACACTTTCGTCTAGTTCTCGCTGGATGATCGGTGGAGAAATGAGCTCCGCGGACAAATATGATTGAATTTGAAATTATGCTACGGCGCATCCTAATAAAGGGAAGGGGCATATCTCTTAACTTCTTGAAACGAACAGTAGATATTGGCAAGACCCAACGATGATGATGTATCCAACCAGAAAATCCAAGCATCATCTCACATTCGTTTAGGCAGATGGATTTCACTTCATTTGCAAATCATTTTGTTTTAGATTGGATGAGCACCTAATACTGAAACACAGTTATCAGAAAGACGAGCTTCGCTGCGACATTTGCCCGAAAGCGTACTCCCATCGACCTTGCCTCATTCGACACAGAGCCGTGGTGCACGGTGAGACGAGGAAGTATCATTGCGAAAATTGTCCAAAGGTCAGATCAAAATCAAATAAACATTATCATTGCAGAAGAAAATTAACGAACAGTTGCAGGTCTTCAGCGATCCGAGTAACCTACAGAGACATATAAGAACCCACCATGCGGGTGCTAGGTCTCACGCTTGTCCTGAATGTGGAAAAACCTTTGCCACATCATCTGGCTTGAAGCAACACACGCATATTCATTCCTCGGTAAAACCTTTCCAATGCGAAGTCTGTTGTAAGGTAAGAATAGTAAGTGCTAATTTTTGGTTCCCTTATAATAAATTTGTAACTCATCCAAGTGTATAATTGTACTAAGGGCAGCATTTTTACATAATTGTAACCTTCTAGCGCCTACAAACTTTTGGACGATGATTCAGGATTTATTGTTGTTGTTTTTGTCCACAGGCCTACACTCAGTTCTCTAATTTGTGCCGCCATAAACGTATGCATGCAGACTGCCGAATGCAGATAAAATGTGTGAAATGTGGACAGTCCTTCACCACATCAACGTCTTTGTCAAAACATACTCGCTTCTGTGGTACTACTAATACGACACAATTAACTAATCCGACTTGTACTCCACCGGCATTGTCCTTAAATCCCATGGCTGGAAACAATCCGTTTTCTATGTACCGCCCCCCTGCCGCTAGTCAGTTTCCTTTATTTTCAAACCATTTTCCTCCCTATCCTCCTATATTTCCACATACTGGGCCTCCTGCATCTTATATGTATCCCTGGTATTTTGATCAACTTCGAAGGAGAAAACAGGAAGGTCTGATTCCTTCGCAAAAGAAAATGCGAATTACCGGTCCAGACGCAATTTCTCCCTTGAAGGAACGTTTCACTCCTCCTAGAGTTGCTTCAGTATCAGCAAAAGTTAGTCCGCCAACCGCTGAAGAAGCGTCATCGAATATGGCCCCTTCTCCCGCAAGGCCTGCACCAACAGGTGCTGTCTTCAGCAATCCTCGAAGCCAGTTGAAAAGAAAAACGACTGAATCCGACACTCCCAGCGATATGCCCAAGGATTTGTCGACTACCAGAAGTCCTTCAATCGAGACAGTTAGAAGCCCTTCAAAATCAAATTGTGATGAGAATGTACTTGAACAGCCCTTAGATTTAAGTGTTTCAAACAAAAAGAACGCAATGGAGATTCCAGAGGTCGAAAACGACTCAAAACATATAGCAGATGATATGGAATCCTTTCCTAGAAGTAGTTCCGAAGATGAGAAGATGGATACAAAGGAATACGTTTCGCCTGAAGCCCCCCAAAAATTCCAAGAAGATAGAGCAGGTCCCCATATGGCGTATCCGAAACCCATTCATCCAATGCTTTTAGAGATGCCTAGACCTAATTTTCCTTCCTTATCTCTTCTGCCCAACAACGACCGTCTTCTTCCGCCGCCTATTTACCCTCCACGATTTACAGTTATGCATAATCTTCAAAACTGCCGCCATTTTGATATGGTTCGTCTTGGTCTGCAAAATTATGCAGAGATAAAGCCGTACGTGGAGGTTCTGAAGCAACAAGCGCAGGGTCCAAAAACTAAAGATCGCTATGCTTGCAAATTCTGCGGAAAAGTGTTTCCTCGATCTGCGAATCTCACAAGGCATCTACGAACGCACACGGGCGAACAACCGTACAAATGTAGATATTGTGAGAGATCCTTTAGTATTTCGTCAAACCTTCAACGCCATGTCCGGAATATCCATAATAAAGAAAAACCGTTTAAGTGTCCCCTTTGTGATCGTTGTTTTGGCCAACAAACTAATTTAGATAGACATTTGAAGAAGCACGAAGCTGACGATGGCAGTGGAGGTGTTGCAGTAGCTGATTCCCCAGGAAGTAGTAACGAAACGGAAAAAGAGGATACTTATTTTGATGAAATAAGGAACTTTATGGGAAAAGTAACCTATTCCGGTTCCAACTATAACGACAATGAGTTGTTTGTTTCTCCTTACGAGAAAATAGCAGATGATCCATTTAGCAGGAAAGCAGAAGACGATACGAAATCATACCCCATGATGGAATATACTGAAGGAAAAGGTGACTATACGAAGACGACTTTAGATGTTCCACTATTAGACGGGAAGATTAAGCAAGAGAAAGAGGAGATATTCAATAATAACGACCATCCTTTAGAAGTGTCCACTTAGTGTTATTTTTCCCATGAGAGGAAATAATGAAGAAGGTTTTGTATGACATTTGTTCAATTGTATTTGAAAAGGTGTAGGATAAACTCTCAACATACAACTTTTTCACAGTTATAAAGCAATTGTAACTAAGCCTAATTTGTAATTTAATTGATTATTGAAGTTTACAGCTCTCAAGTCCTAATTTTAAAATTGACAGCTCCATAATTTTTTTTAACACTTAAAACTATGTGTATGGTATTCTTATGTTATATTTCGTAGATCCAGTGAAATTTAGTTAGAAATTTTGATTTCATTTTTGAATTAAGTTCTTCAAGAAAGAGTTAAACAATTTATAACAATTAAAGAGAATTTTTTTAATATAAAATACACATTTTTTACGTATGTAATTCTAACTGCAGACTCATAAGAAATCCGTTTTTACACGACCAAGGAAAAATTTTTAGTTAAAATTTTGCACAAGCTTTAAATATCTTGAGAATACCAACAAAACAATAAGCTTTCTCTTTTTAATCAGTGAGCGACCATTATTTTAAAAGTTCCTACACTATTTAAATTATAAGTGCACATTTGTAAGATAATGTCACCAAGTAATACACTTTTTGATACTCACCTTAATGATAATAAAACAACAAGGAATTTAAAAGTATGAATGTGTTTTCCATTGTAAATAAACTTTATGTACATACAAGTTTTTGAAATGTAAATACGAAAATTACTATCTTAATTTGCCATACTAGATTTAAGCAGCCGCAACATTATGAATGCTTGATCGTCGAATCTTTAAAACAATTGCACCGAAGCAACAATGCAGTTTCAAATTTTTTTACAAAACAAAATTTCCGTTAGTTTTTTATATAGGTACACGGTGTCCCAAAGGTGTTTTGGGGCAAGAACAACGTTTAATTTAAGTATTTCATTATTCTTATTTTCTATTAGATAACGACTTATTATATTGTTACTTAAAATTTAAATTGAAAGGAAAATAAAAATAATTTTTTGTGTAAAGAAATTTGAAATTTCATACACATATCGAAACCATGTTTTGAACGTTATGTATCACGTATTAAGGTACAAATTTTGTTGTTATGCTGTACAAAGTTTCTTTCGAGTGCTTGTGCAGGTTAAAAAAAAACAAGTACTAGAATAGTTTTATCTTGTAATGCAATGTACTTCAAACTTTAACTATGTATTACAGATCCTTTTGACTGATAATGCACCCTGTACTGTAAAGATTATTTGGAAATAAACCAATTTAAAACAAATATGCGTTCCGATTTGCCTACTTTTATAAATAATTATCGAAATATATATTTATGTATGACTTCTAATTTCCTGTAACGGTACGACCGCAGATTTATATCTGGTTAGGCTATATGTAGGTAGGTATCTTACTAGCAATTAATACATTAATGGTTAGTGGATTGTAGCAATTTCAAAATTAAGTATTTCTTAATATAGGTAAGTACATAGTTATGCATCGAAGATTATTCTGCATTTCGAATCGAAAACCTTTTTAGTTCCATGGAATTCCAAATATTTGGTGAGCGCGTGGTAGGTAGGCAAATAGAAATTTGTAATCTGCTTGTAATAAAAGAAAAGATAAATTTAAGATCGGATGAGATAGATTATACGATATTGTTTTACTCTTAACATTGTTCAAAATTATTATCATTATTAGTCTCCTTAGAATATGTATTTATTGCAAGATTTGAAATTTGACAACAACACAATAACCACTTTTCTTTCAGGAAATTTTGGTTAGTAAGTGGGCTGTCTGTTGTCACAAATATATTATGTAAAGTGTTATATTATGGTCACCATCTTTATAAAAGTCGCCATTTTGTCAGGGCCCAATACTATCATGATAAGGATTTTCAACTTAAAGACTGGTTGGATTTGAAGTTCCACGGTTTTCTTTTTTCTACTCTCTGTAGTATTCTCTCGTTTCTAAGTATATATAACATCCTCCACATATTAAAAATACTTTTAACGTTTCCAATTTCGAAGCGCCCACTGACCACATTCCACATCCATACAAAGCAGTGTTCCCCAAATAAACTCTTTTCCAAATTTCTAAATTCCCCACTTGCGAGTACAAAAGTAATTTCTTTTTGTTAAAAGCGATCTGACCCGGTAATATTCTTGTTATTGACAAAACAGTCCTGTATGAAAATAAATAAAAGTAAAAGAAAAATACTGGTATGCAAGGTAAGAAAAAGTAGGAAAGAGCGGATATAAAGATAGGAGACGAAAAATTAGAAGACGTGGCTGATTTTAGGTATCTAGGAAGTCAGATAAGTCAGGACGGAAAGATTACTAGCGATATAAAGCAGAGGATAGCACAGGATAGAGTTGGCTTCAATAAAAAGAAGTCACTTCTGTGCTCGCGAACGGTTAATTTAGAAATTCGAAAAAGATTATTAAAGGTGTACGTTTGGAACATGGCGCTGTACGGGTGCGAAACGTGGATAATGAAGAGGTATTAGAAAGAGGAGAGGACTCTTTGGATACCTCAGACATGATGGTCTAATCAGAAACATATTAAAGGCAGAAACGGAAGTTACAAGGGGTAGAGGCAGACTTAGATTAGATTACTGTTAAGTAGTTAAGGATATGGGTTCTTCTTGTTTTAGGAAAATGCGAAGATTAGCTTAGGATAGGAAAGAGTGGAGGTGCGTGTCCAACCAGTCTTAGGACTGACGACCTTATGATGATGATGATTTCAAAGAATATTTTTAAATATTTTCCGGGATGTCCTTGTATCATAATTGCATTTGGATCTCTGGATATTTAGTGTCTTTCGTTTTCTGAAGCCTTGATAATTTCTTGTGACGCAAACGCCAGCTGCTGGTAACGATTACGAATAATAACGAAGAACTGTCTGTTACTGCAAAGAGTGAAAGTGCTACACCCAATCAACCTCCCTCTCTCCTTCCCCTCTATCAAAGACCACTTCGATTATGTCAATCCATTCATTAATAACACCGCTACTGGTTCACTACGGTACCGTTATTTACATTAACCAGGCGCAATCAAATCCATTAAATTATCGACAATTAGCGCAAGACTTAAATCGCATAAACAAATAAATATTCACTTATTAATTATTTATTAATCTGAAATTAAAAATATATCAGTTTTAATCATTACCTGTTAAGTAACCGCGTAAAACATTCTTAATAAGTTTTCAAATATATTGTATGATCAACACATTTACCCAAAAATGGGACGCAAAAGTTACGAAAGAGGTTATGGTACTTTGTTACCTTTCATAATTAAAAACGAACGTTCTTAAATTCTAAGCACAACCGTTTCGAAAATTCTATCGTTATTTTCAGAGACAAAACGCAAAAAAAAAATACGTTGCCTTCATTTATAACTGTTAAATGAATAAATTTAAGTTCAATCTTCTTATCTGAAGCTATCACTTACTAATAATTCTGTTAAGATGCCATGATGGTAAACTTTTAATTGATTTTGTGTATACATATATAATTTTCTTCAATATTTATGTAAAACATCATAGCCCATTAATGTTTTCATATATAAATGTAATATAGCAAGTAGGTACGTATGCGCTAATAGTTAATTAATAAAATTAGCTGCGGTACTGACTGGGTGAATAAGAAGTTTTTTAAACGACTGAAGTATCCATTTGCGCGTTCTCGAAGCGACAGTAAACATGTACTAATTGTAAGTCAACTTTAATTGACCATCGTGAACCTGCATTTATGTATTGTACACATAAATATATATTGCACCATTATTAATAGTTTAATTACACTTATGATTATGGTAGCACAATAAAAAATTCATTTTAATATATATTCCTGTCAAGAATATAATTGCTGCCTTCCTATAAGCATTACAATATTTATATATTATATACAGTACACTTATCCGTATATGTATGCATTAAAATAAGGGCATTATTTATGTATCTGTACGATTATCTAGCTAAAATAGGATATATAACTATTTTTTAATGCCCATGTCAATTAGTAGAGATCTTAAATATNCATCATCATCATCATAAGGTCGTCAGTCCTAAGACTGGTTGAAAGTAGAGGAGCTGCTGCTTAGAAATTGATATCATCGTCGTCATCATCATCATAAGGTCGTCAGTTCTAAGACTGGTTGAAAGTAGAGGAGCTGCTTAGAAATTGATATCATGATCATCATCATCATCATCATCATAAGGTAGTCAGTCCTAAGACTGGTTGAAAGTAGAGGAGCTGCTTAGAAATTGATATCATGATCATCATCATCATCATCATCATAAGGTCGTCAGTCCTAAGACTGGTTGAAAGTAGAGGAGCTGCTGCTTAGAAATTGATATCATCGTCGTCATCATCATATATATTATATACAGTACACTTAACCGTACATGTATGCATTAAAATAAGGGCATTATTTATGTATCTGTACGATTATCTAGCTAAAATAGGATATATAACTATTTTTTAATGCCCATGTCAATTAGTAGAGATCTTAAATATGTTAATGGGTTTTATATTTCATAGACTTTCTCCGAAAAGCTGGAATAAAAGGTGTAACTTGTTACTGCCAAAATGATAACTAAACTGCGCCTGCGTATGACGTCACAAGCTGACAATGATTTGGTGGAGCGTGCAAACTAAATTTATTAGTAATAGAAAAGATATTTTCTACATATCGTATCGTATGTAACCCGTTCAAAGTAAAGAAACAAATTTCGAGATTGGATGCAATGACGAAATACATGCAAATGTTTGGCTTGATTGAACTTATTCAATTTTTCGAAAATAAATTGCATCATTTACGTTTGTTCTTTAAAATCTATAACAATGCGAAGGTAAACAACTTTTACTTTTTGTAATATTTACAAGTGCAATGATAATGCTTTGGTCGGTACGCGTCAACAATTTTTCTTTAACAATTTATGGCGCATACAAATCAATTTATCTCTCTAGCTGCGGTCAATTAATCGTTTCGATAGGGCATTAATTATCGGCATTACACTTAAGTACGTGATATGAGAATAGAGAACCGCGCCATAGATATAGGTAATAAGTAGAACATCTTGAGAGGCGTCAAAAGAAGAAATCGCACACCAATTAACAAGTGGACGCCGCCATAATTACCGTAATAAGTGACCGCAAACATAAAATATGTTCGTTATCCGCAGTTCCACGCTCGGCCGGATTGATAGACGATGTGAAAACGCATTTCTGAAAGGGACAAACAACTTCTTGACTGATAACTGCACTAATTTTTTGATCATTCAGAATCATGTTTATCTATCTATTTACTCGGTCTACTTTTCAGCGATTAGTGTGAAACCCTACAGATGGCGTTTACAATGCTATTAACGGTTATTTACTAATTTTGCTAAGTGTTAAACCCTACAGATGGCGTTTACAATGCTATCAACGGTTATTTACNGTCTCTTTGACTTCCATATAGTCCCTTGTTCTTCTATTCTTTCTAATACCTCTTCAACCTTCTCTATTCATCGTATCCTTACATTTCGGATGCTTCTAACCTTTTCTTTTTCGCCGTGCACACCGTCCAAATTTTGCAGCCACACAGAGCAGTGTTCCAGACATACATCTTTAAAAATCTTTTTCAAACTTCTAAATTAATCGTTCGCGAGCATAAAAGTGACATCTTTTTATCGAAGGCGACTCTACCCTGCGCTATCCTCTGCTTTATATCCCTACTACTGCTGTCATCCTGGTTTATCTGACTTCCTAGATACCGAAAGTCAGCCACTTCAGAAATTGATATAAAGAATGGACAACTGTAAAAACCGTCATGATTCCGTGAGTTCTCCTTGGTCTAGAGTTCTTCGCATATTAGGTCTTACAACTATTAAACTAATGTTTAAATTGAATTAAAATGAAAGAAAGACTTTTAAATCATCCTGCACTGTTCATCCTGTGCTCGAATGCTGACTTTCTCTTAAGTTGATTACATTGACCGTTTTTTTACTTTTTCTGTTTGTTATTGTGCAATATATGAAGCTTATAAGTCTCGTTTTTATTCTTATTATTTTCTGTCCAAATCGATCAAAATTTTATAAATTATGTGGAACACAATCCTAAAATCTGTTCTGTCGTTCTTCATTTAATGACAAATACATGATTGTTAACAACCATTGTGGAATCCGTTTATGGAATTTTGAAATTTTCAAAGATTTATTTTAGGTCGCACCAGGTTGAAGAGCAACACAGGTGTTAGTAAGTAAT